GCACCACATAAACAGAAAAAGCCGGAAGTGGTGCTGTGGCTCCAGTGGTAGAGTGCTAGCCTTGAGCTGAAGAGCTGAGGGACAGTGCCCAGACCCAGAGTTCAGGCCCCATGACTGGCCAAAAAAAAACCCCACATTAAAATGGTACCTAAATTATATATATATATATATATGTATATATATACATATATATATATGTATATATATTTATCAGTTAAAAAATATCTGCACTAAAGATTTGGGATGTAATACTGCCCATATAATTTCTGACTTCCTTTATCCTTCCTTCCTTCCTTCATTTATTTGTTTACTTATCTATTTATATATTTTGCCAGTCTTGGGGCTTGAACTCAGGGCCTGGGCACTGTCACTGAGCTTTTTTTGCTCAAGTCTAGCACTCTACCACTTGAGCCACAGCACCATGTCCGGCTTTTACTGTTGATGTGGTAGTGATGAGTCGAACCCAGAGCTTCATGCATGCTAGGCAAGCGCTCTACCACTAAGCCACATTCCCATTCCCAGACCCTTTATCCTTCTTTTTTCTTTTTTTTAAATTTTATTTTATTGTGAAGATGCTGTACAGAAGGGTTACAGTTACATGAGTAAGGTAATGAGTACATTTCTTATCAAACATTGTTACCGCCTCCTTTGTTTTTTTTTTCCTACTATCCCTTCCCTTCCTCACCTCCCCCCTAAAGTTGTAAAGTTCATTTCCAACATAGTGTCTTGTGAGTATCATTGTTGCAATGGGTCATCCTCTGTCCTTGTTTCAGCGTTTTATTATTTCTCTTCCCCTCCCCAAATTAGATAAATGTATATATAAGTTGCAGGGTAACAAAATCAAACAGTGACAACAGGGGATATACCATGGGAAGAGGAACATACAAAAGAAAAAAAAATCACATAGTACATTAAAAACAACAACAACAAAGCAAAACCTCTTGTGTCCATATCTTGGGGTTTATCCTTTTCTTTTTTTTTTTTTTTGTCGGTCGTGGAGCTTGAACTCTGGGCTTGGGTACTGTCCCTGCACTCTTCAGCTCAAGGAGAGCGCTCTATGGCTTGCGCCACAGCTCTACTTCTGGTTTTTGAGTGGTTTATTAGAGATAAGGATCTCACAGACTTTCCTGCCCAGGCTGGCTTTGGACAGTGATCCTCAGCTCTCAGCCTCCTGAGTAGCTAGGATTACAGGTGTGAGCCACTGGCGCCTGGCTTTATCCTTCTTTTAAAGGTCTTTTCCTATTTCATTTTGTTGAAAAGTTTTGATATTTCTAAGTACTTCACTTATAATTATCTAGCTTCTGTCCTAAATCTACTCTCTTACAGCCCAGTATTTTAAAAAATTTTGTTAAAGCTTCACTAGGCATTGATTTTATTTGGGAGGGTGAAAGAGAGAATGAAAACAACTTCTCCTAATATAGGATTCTTTATGTGAGCAATTTATTTTATGAAATAAATTAATGATACATTTTGAAGCCATGGTGTGTGTGTGTGTGTGTGTATGTGTGTGTGTGTGTGTGTGTGTGTGTGTGTGTGTGTATACAGGGATTAAATTATGACCAATATCTGCCTATTAAAGTTATTCTAGCATGGTTTAATATATTCAGAAGCATGAAATGAGAAACAGTGTATTAGTTTGGTTTATTGTTACCTTGATTGTCGAGACAAAAGACTCACAACTTGAAATTTATATCTTAAGATCAGAACAAGCCTATAATCCTAGCTACTCAGGAGTCTGAGATCTGAGGATTGTGGTTCAAAGCCAGCCCAGGCAAGAAACTCTGTGAGACTCTTATCTCCAGTAAACGACGAGAAAACTGGAAGTGGTGCTGTGGCTCAAGCGGTAGAGTACTCACCTTGAGCTGAAGAGCTCAGGGACAGCGCCCAAGCCCAGAGTTCAAGCCCCACGACTGACAAAAAAAAAAATCAGAACAATCTAACAATCATAGGTGCACAGGTAGTAAGTGAATTTGGTTTGTTCCAGAGCATAGGTTCTTGAGTCTTTATAGTCTGTATACTGCCACAAAGAACATCTTGTTCTATTTGATTATTTAATGTACATGGTTTGAGATCAGCTCTTCAGTTTCAGAAATCCACTCACCCTAAATTTAAAAAAATGCTCCGAATTACAAAGAAATGTTCTAAGGGCATCTCAATATCAGGAACTGAAATAGCATCGCACAAAGAAGATTTTCATTGAATATATTAAGTGCTCATTTGTTGCATGTCTAGTTGCTCTGTGCCTATATGCGTTTTAGCAGCTCTTCTCTGGAGATGCTTGTTTTTTTTTTTTTTTTTTTGTCGGTCATGGGGCTTGAACTCTGGGTCTGGGCGTTGTCCCTCAGCTCTTCAGCTCAAGGCGAGCGCTCTACCGCTTGAGCTACAGCGCCACTTCCGGTTTTCTGGTGGTTTATTGGAGATAAGAGTCTCACGGTCTCTCCTGCCCGGTCTCTCCTGCCCGGGCTGGCTTTGAACCGTGATCCTCAGATCTCAGCCTCCTGAGTAGCTAGGATTACAGGCGTGAGCCACCAGCGCCCGGCTGGAGATGCTTGTTTAATAAAACATTTTGTATTTGCTTTGTAATTTAAGAATTGATTGAAATAGGTTAGCAATTTCCTATAATAATTCATTTCAGAATATCACCTCCCTTTTTGGCAGCTGTTTCCTGTCTTCTAGTCCACATCCTCTAGATGGATAGCTAAGGAGTAGCCTACTGGAGGTAACAGGAAATGAAATTTTAGAATCTCAGACTACAGAGATAAGATCTTTACTGTCCCTACCAGGAAACCGCTCTTTTGGTTTTCATGAAAATACTGTGATTATTCAGCTTAAGATTTAACTCAATTAGGAAGTATTTCACTAGCAGACTTTTCTTTTTTTTCTTTTTTGGGTCTGGTCATGGGGCCTGAACTCTGAGTCTGGGCACTGTCCCTCAGCTCTTAAGCTCAAGACTAGCACTCTACCAATTGAGCCACAGCGCCACTTCCGGCTTTTTTCTTTTTGCTTATGTGGTGCTGAGGAATTGAACCCAGGGCCTCATGCATGCAAGGCAAGCGCTCTACCACTGAGCCACTTTCCCAGCCCCTAGCAGACTTTTCTTTCCTTTCTTTTTCTTTTTCTTTTTTTGTTAGTACTGGGGCTTGAACTCAGGGCCTAGGTACTGTCTCTGAACTATTTTGCTCAAGGCTAGAGCTTGACCACTTGAGCTACAACTCCACATTTGGTTTTTTGGTGGTTAATTGAAGATAAGAGTCTTGAGGGGGCCGGGCGCTGGTGGCTCACGCCTGTAATCCTAGCTACTCAGGAGGCTGAGATCTGAGGATCACGGTTCAAAGCCAGCCCGGGCAAGAAAGACCGTAAGACTCCTATCTCCAATAAAAACCACCAGAAAACCGGAAGTGGCGCTGTAGCTCAAGTGGTAGAGTGCTCGCCTTGAGCTGAAGAGCTGAGGGATAGCGCCCAGGCCCAGAGTTCAAGCCCCACGACCGACAAAAAAAAAAAAAAAAGAGTCTTGAGGGGGGCTGGGAAGGTGGCTCAGTGGTGGAGTGTTTGCCTCACATGCATGAGGCCCTGGGTTCAATTCCCCAGCACCACATAAATAGAAAAAGCTGGAAATGGCACTGGGCTCAAGTGGTAGAGCACTAACCTTGAGCTGAAGAGCTGAGGGACAGCGCCCAGGCCCAGAGTTTAGGCCCCACAACAGACAAAAAAAAAAAAAAAAGTCTTGAGGACTTTTCTGCCCAGGCTGGCTTAGAATTGCCATCCTCAAATCTCAGCCTTCTGAATAGCTAGGATTACAGACATGAAGCACAAGCACCCAGCCTAGTAGATGTTTTGATGTACTTAATTATTTCATGGCCTAAGAAGGCTTATAAACTTGTATGTATGTAATGTTAGCAGTAACAAAAGAACAGGGTATGGGGGGGTCATCTTCCTTTATTCACTGAATTTAGTATTCATGCTTCAAGAACAACAAACATACTGTTAGCCTTTTTTTTTTGGTTGGTCATGGGGCTTGAACTCTGGGCAATGTCTTTGAACTTTTCAGCTCAAGGTGAGCGTTCTACCACTTGAGCCACAGTGCCACTTCCGGTTTTCTGGTGGTTCATTGGAGATAAGAGTCTCATAGACTTTCCTGCGTGGGCTGGGTTCGAACCGAGATGCTCAGATCTCAGCCTCCTGAGTAGCTAAGATTACAGCATAAGCCACCAGTGCCTGGCACAAGTATGATTTTTATTAAATTTTCCTAAGTTGTTTACCTACTTTGGGTAAACCAAACATTTTTAGATATTAATCTGAATTTTCAGAGAAAACTTTTTAAGTTTTGGGTATACAATACCAGTAGTGGTGCTGTGGCTCAACTGGTAGAGCACTTGCCTTGAGCTGAAGAGCCTAAGCCCAGAGTTCAAGCCCCACGACTGACCAAAAAAAAAAAAACAAAAAACTAGCATTTCACAACACACTGAGTGTAATACTATTTGGGAGTAGCCATCTAGTAAGAGCTAATTAAACTCCAGCTACTCTATTAGGCAATTTCATGTTCAAAGGGTAGACTACTAGATTCTTTAAAGTTATTATTGACTTATCTTACCAGCATTAATAATTCTCCCTATTCCAGTTAATACAATTACGAGTAAGTTTATGTGTAAACACATAAATGTATACTCTTACTCTTGGCTCTTAGTTTGACTAAGTTACCTTAAAATTAAATTTTTTATTTAAAAAAGCTAACTTCAGTATTGATTTTTCACATTATAGACTATATATATTCACATTTTGAATTTTTTGAATACAGTTTAATAGTTATTTGGTTGTTCTGCATTAGTAACATTTTTAATGTGCTGTTTTGAATTGGGCTACCTTTCAATATTGATTTTTTTATTTCTATGAGGTAATATTTTCTCCCTGAAATTAAATTTTCATAAGGTCAAGGCATAAAGTATAAAATCTCCTAAGTTTAACTAATATTGAGAATAATAAAAAAATACTTTTTTTTGTAGGCGAAGACTACAAGCTACTTCAGAACTATAGTAATGATGGCCTGAGCTAACCACCTAACTGGAATGAAGGTGCCCTTCCGTGTGAAAGATCACAATGCTGAGAAGGCCATGGCAAGTATGTGTTTGAGACAATTTATAAACCTCGGATCCAGTGTGCTCACGTTAAATTCCATGACACTGTCTGGTTAATGATAAAACTCTTTCTACTTTCTTTAAAAATGTACTTTCAGCCTTTAACAACCATGAGAGAATTGACCAATTTTCAAAGGAAAAAAATCACACTTCATAATAAATCTTACATGGTAAATTGATCATTGATTTTTAAATTAATATTGGTTGAAGTCTGTCATGTGTCAGGCATGCTACTGGGTATTGTGATAACAGAGTAAACAAGACAGATGAAGGTCCTGAGGACAGAACTTGCAATGTGTTGAAAATGGGTGCGAAATTTTATTATTCTTTACCTATTTCTAGAAGTTTATTTGCCTATTTCTAGAAGCTTATTTCTAAAAAATAAGCTTCAAGACTTACATGAAGAGTTTCTGAAAATGTATTTTCAACATGTAGGCTGCTATTAATAACTAATCATCATTATAAAATTAGGATCTTGAGCACTTTCAAATTAAATTCATATATGTTAACTATACTAATATTTATATATTTGACTATACTTTACATATGTTCATGTTTACCTGATTAACCAGTCTTTGTAAGAAACATTATATTATATACTATGTTTCAAATTGTGTCTCAGTCCAATTGTTACTTAAAATGATTTTACAGAGAACTAAGAATTAGTAGTTAATGAAATAGTAGTTAATGTAATATCACTTTGATTTTAAAAAATTCAGACTTTAGAGTTCTTAAAGTATTACCAATATTAATTACTGTTTCTTTCAAAGTATTTTTTTTTTTTTTTTGTCTGTTGTGAGGCCTGAACTCTGGGCCTGGGCGCTGTCCCTCAGTTCTTCAGCTCAAGGCAAGTGCTCTACTATTTGAGCCACAATGCCACTTTTGGCTTTTTCTGCTTATGTGGTGCTGAGGAATCTAACCCAGGGCTTCATGCATGCAAGGCAAGCACTCTACCATGAGCCACCTTCCCAGCCCCTCTTACAAAGTATTTTTATACATTCAGTCTTTATGTACTCAGTATATAACATTTATAATATCTATAATAAACATATATGTATATATACAATGTTAAATATATATATATATATAAAATCTCACACACACACACACACACACACACACACACACACACACACACACACACACACACACACACACACACACACACACACACTTGGACTTAGTAAACTGAGATCTGAGGATTGTAGTTCAAACCCAGCCTAGGTAGGAAAGTCTCCAATTGACCACCAGAAAACTGGATGTGGTGTTGTGGCTCCGAGTGGTAGAGAGCTAGCCCTGAGCAAAAGAGGTCAGAGACAGTACCCAGAGTTCAAAGCCCCACGAACAACAAAAAACACAAAAATCTACTCCCTCCATTCCTCTCCCTATTAACACTCTCCCTTCTTAAAACAGTTTCAGAAAATTTTATTGTTCTATTTTCATACATGCAAATGAACTACTTTGAGAATATTCATTCTCATTCACCCTGTTAGCCTTCTCTACTCCAGATGGTAATGCATTTAGATCATACTTTTTATTATGTTTTAATTGCAAAGCCACCTAAATACTCAGTTGTGCAATTGACCTTTTATAGGTAAGTAATGTATGTTTTCCCAAATTGATTTTTCTTTATGTGTATATCTGTCCTGAGGCTTGACCTCAGTGTCTGAGCTCTCTCCTTAAGTTTTTTTATTTTGCTCCAGTCTAACACTTTACCACTTGAGCCACAGCTCCACTTCTGGCTTTTTTGGTAGTTAATTGGAGAAGGTATCATGGGCTTTCCTGTCTAGACTGGCTTGAACTGCAATCTTCGAACTCCTCAGTAACTAGGATTATAGGTGTGAGCCATGAGTGCCCAGCTCCAACTTGATTTTGAGCCCTGTTTTTAGTAGACCTTCAAATAGAGCTGGGATACCTGTCCATCCACAGTGGTGGTCGCTTCCTCCTCTTCTCCCTCCTCTCTCCCTCTTCCTCTTCTCTCCCCCCCCCCCCCCCCCACCTCTTCTCTGGGCACCAGTGGCTCACACCTGTAATCCTAGCTACTCAGGAGGCTGAGATCTGAGTATTGCAGTTCAGAACCAGCCTGAGCAGAAAGTCTGTGAGACTCTTATCTCCAATAAACCACCAGAAAACTGGAACTGGAACTGTGGCTCAAGTGGGTAGAGCACTATCCTTGAACTGAAGAGCTGAGGGACAGCACCGGGGCCTAGAGTTCAAGCTCCATGCCCAACCCCCACAAAAAAACTTCTTACAGGGGCTGGGAAGGTGGCTCAGTGGTAGAGCGCATGCCTTGCATGCCAGAGGCCCTGGGTTCGATTCCTCAGCACCACATAAGCAAAAAGCAAAAAAAAAAAAAAAAAAAAACTTCTTACATTTTTGCTCTTGCTTTTTCATTCAATATATGTGCCTTTTTAGACAATTTGCTTTCTCAAAAAAAAAAAAAGAGAAAATGTGTAATACTAAACAGGTAATATTTCTTACTCTCCTAGAAGCATTTTTCAGACTAGAAAATAGTGTCAATTAGACTCTGTGTATCAAATGCATGGGTAAAGGAAGCATTAGTACTTGTTCAGCATTATTACTCTTAGGCAGTTACATGTTCCTATTTCCCACAAGAAAGCCTTCTCTGCCACTTTGCTAGAAGCTTTCTGCAAATGTGCGCCTGATAATTCTGACTACTTCTCTTACTGCACTGATTGCAGTTATTCTAAATGTTGCTTGCTTTGTTAGACTAGTGTCTGACAGAGTGCAGACGATCTGTATGGTCACCACTGCATTCCCAATGTCAACTCAATGCCTGGCACATGCTTGACATTCCACAAATTGTTGTTATATGGATTTCTTGAAGGGTCTTGGTTTTATAGGTGAGGAGCCCGAGGTTGAAATTGAGTAGCTTTTCCAGATACCACAGTGACAAAAGGGACTTCAAACTGTATGGTTTAATCCTTTCTTCTTTTGGGGGTACTCATGGGGCCTGAACTCTGGGCCTGAGTGCTGTTCCTTAGCTCTTCAGCTCAAGGCTAGCACTCTACCACTTGAGCCACAGCACCACTTCTGGCTTTTTTCTTTTTGCTTATGTGGTGCTGAGGAATCAAACCCAGGGCCTCAGGCATGCAAGGCAAGCGCTCTACCACTGAGCCAACTTCCCAGCCCCTGTACGGTTTAATCCTATACTCCAATGTCTGACTAAATTAATTACCTTGAGCCTAGGTTTCACTTCCATAAAATGGTGCATTGCATTAAGGTCCTTGTTTCCTCCAAAATTATGACTATAATAAGAATCCTGATGATACTTTATTTTTTTCTTTGTCAGTTATGGGGCTTGAACTCAAGGTCTGGGTGATGTTCCTGACCTCCTTTGCTCTATGATAGCACTCTACAGCTTTGAGCCACGCTCCACTTCCCTGTTTTCTGGTGGTTAATTGGAGATTGGAGTCTCACAGACTTTCCTGCCCAGCTAGCCTTAATCCTTGATCCTCAGATCTCAGCCTCCGGAGTAGCTAGGATTATAGGTGTGAACCATCAGTGCCTGGCTTAGGGATTCTTATCTGTTAAATAATATACTGTGTCTAGTTTTGTTAGGAAAATCATGGAGAACCTGAAGATAGATGGTGCCAAACAAACAGTTTTAGAAGTAAAGAAGAATTGTATTTCTCATAGCTATATAGTTGAATGTGGAAGTAAGCGGAGGTTGAAGTAGTCGAAAATATATGAGCTAATCAGGTTTTTGTTTGTTGGGAGTTGTCAGTTTTTTGAGACCAGGTCTTGATCTCTCACTATGATGAGCTGAAGCCTTTTTTTTTTTTGGCAGGGGTTAATCCTCTAAGTAGTTTCATTAATATTTTTTCTACAAATTGTACAAAGGGTTTACAAGCTAGCATGCCCATTTACGTGTACAGTGCATCCTAATTACAATCGCCCTTCCCATCACTTCCTCTCCTGGCACCAGCTGCCCCTCACCCACCAGTCACACCAAGTTTCCACTTCCTTTGTCACATGTTGGCGTTTAGTATTACAGTTGTATTTGTCCAGCATTTCCTTGTCCCTTCATCACCTTCTCCCCTAACTCCCACCCCACTCAAAACAGACTTCAGCTTCCTGATTCTCATTTTGTTAAAGTTTCTGTCTGCTGTCTGGGCCTGGGCGCTGTCCCTGGGCTCTTCAGCTCAAGCCTAGCACTCTACCACTTGAGCTACAGCACCACTTCCAGCTTTTTCTGCTTATGTGGTGCTGAGGAATCGAACTCAGGGCCTCATGCATGCAAGGCAAGCACTCTACCACTGAGCCACCTTCCCAGCCCTCTAGGGAGGATCTTACCACTTACAAAGTCAAGTATGCAGCTCTGTTTCTACAAAAGTGTCTCTCATTTAATAGAGTCTGTCGTATCTTCTCATAAAGACCTTGTTTTGTTCCATACTCTTTGGAGCAAGCTTTTCTCTTTACTTCACCTAGCAAAGATGCTAGTAAATGAAATCGTTTTAAATTCTGGAGGGAAATGAATTAGATCACTTTTTGCTCATTTTGTTCATTTGGATTCACTTAAAGGTTGACTGAATTAGCACCAAAAATTATTTTTGATGGTGCTGGGTTGTGAACTCAGAGCATAATGGCTTGTTAAACAGGAGCTTAACTACTTGAGCCATCCCTCTTGCTCAAAATTTAAAATAGTTTGATTGCTACATTTATTAATCTTTCAGTGATTTAAGATCACTTTGTGAATTTCAGCGATTGTTGCTTATGATTATATCCCTGGGCCCTGTTGGAGTTTGTAGGACTATTTTCCTATTCCTGTTAGTTCAATTAAATATTTAGGGATTACTTGCTTGACTCGCCTTCTCATACTCAATGGAGACAACAGACATGAGTGAGATTTCAGACAAAATAGTTCAGTGGGAAAGTGTTACATTGAAAATATAAAGGTGCTTTGCTCATTGGAGTAAGACTATTGGTAGGAACAAGAAAAACTGCATGGTACATAATATTAATAAGGAGACCACAGGTATAGATGGTGAAGTAGAGCTGGAAACGGATAATTGCTTTGCTACTATATGGTAAGTACCAGAATAGAAATAAACAGGAAGCGATGGGACCAAGTTAAAGAGAATGACTGTTCTAGAATGGATAGAAGGATCATCACATCAAGTGAACAAAGTGACTTAGCATCAGGAATGGACTGAGTAAAGTTCTGAAAATGGGTTAAGTGTTTCAGGAATGGCAATTACTTAGGTGGAAAGAACATAGTAGTAAAAAGGAAAAAGTTGAGATGTAAATCTGAGGTTGGGGTGGGCTAGTCAAGGCAGTTATGTATGCTGTAGGGAGCTAGAACTTTATTTCTACACAGTGACCTGCAGCAGGGGCATGGTATGAGTAGACATTTTATAAATTCTACTAGTATTGTACAGAATGATTAAGTGTAATGTTTCTGACACTTTGATCATTCATCTTCCATTTTTGCTATTTTTTTGCCATACTTAAACTTGCTTCTGGGCAAATGAGCCAGACCAGTAGGAAGAAAACAAGTGACAGATTGAATTTCTTACACATATAATGACCATCTTTTTTTGTTATCTGTGGCTTCTTTTATGGTTTGAAAGATCCTTTCTTGTTAACAGTTTGCCATTTTACATTGATGGTATTCTCCTTGCCAAAAGTAGGCCCTTTTCCTCTTCCTTTCTAATATCTAGCCTACTAAAAGATTCAAACAAACAAGCATGGGTTTGACCATGAGTTCCATACAAAATCTTCATGGAGTTAGTTTGGATACAACCATCTATGTTACCTAATGTGTTTTCTGATTCTTATCTTAATGTAGATCTTTATGACTGAGCTGTACAACAACTTTAAATGAGTGAAATATAACCATAATTTGCTTCAAGGATCATTGCCACTCATTTTAAATTTATTTCAATGTAGGTGATTGGCGTTGTGCTTCAAAAATTTCAGCAGTTCAACAGTATTTTATCTGTCAACAGTAAGCTCTTTACTTGATTGCACCATGAAAAAGCTGCTAAAGAGACTTGTTGAGCACAAAAGTGGACTTGAAGAACCAGAAGCCATTGTTTTCAAATGAAGAATCTTGAATAGTTTTCAGCCTCAATGCTTTTCAATCAACACTGAGGTTTCGCCCATAACATCAGAATGGCGAGCAGGCGAAAGTCAACAACACCTTGCATGGTCCTGGCTAGTGAACAGGATGCAGATCTTGAGTTGATATCAGATTTGGATGAAGGTCCTCCAGTACTTACACCTGTGGAAAATGCCAGAGCAGAGAGTATCTCAAGTGATGAAGAAGTTCATGAGTCTGTGGATTCCGACAATCAGCAAAATAAAAAAGTTGAAGGTGGCTATGAATGTAAATATTGTAGTTTCCAAACTCCAGATTTAAATATGTTTACTTTTCATGTGGATTCAGAACATCCCAATGTAGTACTAAATTCATCTTATGTTTGTGTTGAATGCAATTTTCTTACCAAAAGGTATGATGCACTTTCTGAGCATAATATGAAATACCACCCAGGAGAAGAGAATTTCAAGTTGACAATGGTGAAACGTAACAACCAGACAATCTTTGAACAAACAATAAATGATCTGACCTTTGATGGTAGTTTTGTTAAAGAAGAAAATGCAGAACAAGCAGAGTCCATAGAAGTTTCTTCTTCAGGAATCTCTATCAGTAAAACACCTATCATGAAAATGATGAAAAATAAAGTAGAAAACAAACGGATTACAGTCCATCATAACTCATCTGAGGACACTCCTGAGGAGAAAGAAAATGAAATCAAACCAGACAGGGAAGAAAAGGTAGAAAATGCAAATTCTTCAGCTCCAGAATCTACCACCAGTACTTCCGTTGTAAACAGAATACATGCAAATACTGGCAACACAGTGGTGACCCCCGCAGCAGTTCTTCCTGGGCTATCACAGGTCATAACCGCCGTGTCTGCTCAGCAGAACTCAAACCTGATTCCCAAAGTCTTAATCCCTGTTAATAGCATTCCTGCCTACAATGCTGCACTGGACAACAATCCTCTCCTACTGAACACCTACAACAAATTCCCTTATCCAACAATGTCAGAGATTACCGTTCTTTCGGCTCAAGCAAAATATACAGAGGAACAGATCAAGATATGGTTTTCAGCTCAACGCCTAAAACATGGTGTTAGTTGGACTCCCGAAGAAGTAGAGGAGGCGAGAAGAAAGCAATTCAATGGGACAGTGCATACTGTACCTCAGACCATAACTGTCATCCCGACCCACATTTCCACAGGGAATAATGGTTTACCATCTATTTTACAGACGTGTCAAATAGTTGGTCAGCCGGGTCTGGTCCTTACTCAAGTAGCTGGAACAAACAGCTTGCCAGTAACAGCACCCATAGCCTTGACAGTGGCAGGGGTTCCAAATCAAACAAGTGTCCAGAAAAGTCAAGTCCCTGCTGCTCAGCCTGCTGCAGAAACGAAGCCGGCCAGTGCAGCACTTCCGCCCCCCCAGAATGCCAAACCCGAAACTACGCTGGCAAACCCCGATTCATTTGGTATTCGGGCAAAAAAGACAAAAGAGCAACTAGCAGAACTAAAGGTTAGCTACCTTAAAAGTCAGTTTCCCCACGACTCAGAAATTATCAGACTTATGAAAATAACAGGCCTCACAAAAGGTGAGATTAAAAAATGGTTTAGTGACACCAGGTACAACCAGAGAAACTCAAAGAGTAACCAGAGCTTACATCTCAACAGTGATTCCTCGGCCACCATTATCATAGACTCCAGTGATGAGGCCACAGAGCCCCCACCCGTGGCGGCCTCGCAGCCTAAGCAATCCTGGAATCCCTTTCCCGACTTCACGCCCCAGAAGTTTAAAGAGAAAACCGCAGAACAACTTCGGGTCCTTCAGGCAAGTTTTCTCAACAGCTCCACACTTACAGAAGAAGAATTAAATAGGTTAAGAGCACAAACCAAACTTACGAGAAGAGAAATTGATGCTTGGTTTACAGAGAAGAAGAAATCAAAAGCTTTAAAGGAAGAGAAAGTCGAAATCGATGAAAGCAATGCAGGTAGTTCCAAAGAAGAAGCTGGGGAAACTTCTCCCCAAGAAGAATCGATCACCCCCAAGTCAGCGAGTACGGGCAAGATATGCAAGAAAACCCCTGAGCAGTTGCACTTGCTTAAAAGTGCGTTTGTTCGAACACAGTGGCCATCACCTGAAGAGTACGACAAGTTGGCAGAAGAAAGTGGACTTGCCAGGACAGACATTGTTAGTTGGTTTGGCGACACCCGTTACGCGTGGAAGAACGGAAACCTGAAATGGTACTACTACTATCAAAGTGCCAGTTCAGGCAGAATGAATGGTCTATCTTCCCTTAGGAAAAGAGGGAGAGGGAGACCCAAAGGACGTGGAAGAGGAAGACCTCGGGGGCGACCCAGAGGCGGCAAAAGAATTAACAACTGGGACCGGGCACCATCATTGATAAAATTTAAAACTGGAACTGCCATACTTAAGGATTATTACCTGAAGCACAAATTTCTTAATGAGCAAGACCTGGATGAACTTGTCAACAGATCACACATGGGCTATGAGCAGGTTAGAGAGTGGTTTGCAGAAAGACAGAGACGATCTGAGTTAGGTTTAGAATTATTTGAGGAAAACGAGGAGGAAGAGGAAGTTGTTGAAGATCAGGAAGAGGATGAAGAAGAGACAGATGATAGCGATACTTGGGAACCCCCACGACATGTGAAGCGGAAGCTTTCTAAATCGGATGACTGAAGTGTGTAAGTGTTCACCTGAGTGTGTTATAACTGTGTAAAGTACCTTATTGGATAACGTGTTTTCTAAAATACTTTTCCGTAATAAGAGGACTAGATGTCATTAGGCTAGCCAAGACATATATGAGTGATGATCAGGTGTAGTTTGATTATCATATAGAGTTTTAATATTGCTTTAATGACTAATGTTGCTTTTTTTTCTTAAGTGCCAGTCCTGGAACTTGAAATTGGGGTCTGGATGCTGTCCCTGAGCTTTTTTGCTCAAGGTGAGCACACTGTCACTTGAGCCACTTCTGTTTTTTTGATGGTTAATTGAAGATCAGAGTCACACAGACTTTTCTGTCCGGGTGGCTTCAAACCTTGATTCTCAGATCTCAGTCTCCTGAGTAGATAGGCTTACAGGCATGGGCCTTTGGCACCAGGCATTTTTTTAATGTAAAATAATCTTCAAGGTTGGGAATGTGCCTTAGTGGTAGAGTGCTTGCCTAGCATGTGTGAAACCCTGGGTTTGAGTCCTCAGTACCGCATAAACAGAAAAAAAGTTTGAGGTGGCGCTTTGGCTCAAGTGGCAGAGGGCTAGCCTTGAGCAAAAGAAGCTCAGGGACAGTGCGCAAGCCCTGAGTTCAAGTCCCAGGACTGGCAAAAAAAATTTTTTTCAGTTTGTTTCAAAGAAAAGTTATTCACCTGTAAGATAGGAGATAGGGAATTAAACACTGAAGGTAAATGAAATGTAGTTCTTGTGACCTTCCCTTCATTAAAGCTTTATTTTTTTTTCTATTTAAGGAAAGGATTCAAAAACTAAAACTAAAAAGAAGGGGAAAAGTATACTGAAGGAAGGAGACTTACTACAGGGTGAGGATTGTTCAATGTTAGGAAACTAGGTCAAACAAGTATAGTTTTTTTTTCATTATATTGTCTCAAAAGTATTCAATTTTTAGCTAGAGTTTAAAGCACTTTTATATTAAAATTGTTTAATATCTTTTGTCTTTTAAAAGCAAAAGCTCTATAAATTCATATTTCCTTATTAGGTGCATCTGTGTTTGAGAAGCTGCAATAGAAATGATTTCTTAGGCAGAAATAATTGGCAAAAGGAAAATAATAGATACGATATTAAATTAACTGTTATATAAGATATATTTTCGGGGCTGGAAAGGTGGCTCAGTGGTAGAGCACTTGCCTTGCATGCATGAGTCCCTGGGTTTGATTCCTCAGCACCACATAAGCAAAAAGAAAAAAGCCAGAAGCGGCACTGTGGCTCAAGTGGTAGAGCGCTAGCCTTGAGCTGAAGAGCTGAGGGACAGCGCCCAGGCCCAGAGTTCAGGCCCCACGACCGGACCCCCTTCCCCAAAAAAGGATATATTTTCATTCATAGATATAAAATAACTCTGTTCCCAGTACAAATACTATGTTTGGTTAAAAAAATAAATCTCTGGCCAGGTGCAGTAGTACATACTTATAACCTCAGCAGTTTGTAGGAATACATGGTGAGACTCTCTCAAAACAAAATAAATGAATAGCCTTAAAAGTGGAAACAAATATAGAATAAATATATAAGGTTTTAGTATGATTCTTAATACATTACACATTAGATTAATCAAAATTTAAGGTTTAACCAGGCACTGGTGACTCATGCCTGTAATCTTAGCTACTCAGGAGGCTGAAATCTAAAGATTGTGGTGCGAAGCCAGGAAAGTTTGTGAGTCTCTTATCTCCAATAAAGTACCAGAAACAAAAAACAAAAAACAGAACTGAAGCTGTGGCTCAAGAGGTAAAGCTCTAGCCTTGAGTATAAAAACTCAGGGACAGTGTCTAGGACCTGAGTTCAAACCCCAGAACAGGCACACGCGCGTGCACACACACACACACACACACACACATGCTATAATTGTAAATCTGTTACCTGGTTTGGAGTTAAGACTTCAGTACTTAATACTTTTGAACTCAGGAACAGGTTTTATTCTTTTCTGTTTTGTATTTGGGATAAAAGCACATGGTTTTGCAGACAACAAAGTTTTCATGAAATTTGTGTGTGTGTCTGTGAGCTGAATAACATTATGGTAGCAGAAATTAGTGCAGGTAGGGAGGAAATGAAGAATAGACCTTCATGATTATTACATATAAGCCCTTCTTCCTACATCTGTAACCCATTTTTCAGTTCTTAGGTTCTCTTACTCTACATAATATTAACTTAATTCCTCCATATCTTTCCTCTGACTTGTTCATTTTAACAATTATTTACAGAGATCTTAATATGTACTAGATGATATTCTTCTTAGCTAACATTTTTGGGAAGAACAACAAATGAACTAAAATGTACCTATTGTAATAAGCGGTACAAATCTCATCTTAGGTTATAAAGCATAATATAATCATTGTAAGTCACAAAGCCAAATGGTTTTGTACAGTTTTATCCTGAAGTCCCAACTGTCTACCTCCTCATGTCAGCAAACCTCAGGACAGGCGTTGTTCTGACCCAAATGCATATTTTTTAACAGGCCTTTTTTCAATTGCTAAACACAAGAATGCACACTCAGCTAAGATTAAATCAACAAATTTGTTTCTGCAGTGAATTGCTGTTACAACCTTTGCAGTGATTTTCTGGGGAATTGTAAACTTCTATAAAAATAAGGTGAACTTTTCTGTATAGTGTACTAGAAACTTAAATTTAGAGGATAATTCTTGTGTTTATATTAACACTCTTATGAATACCAATTACAGGAAAAAAAATTCACATAAATCTTCAGCTTTTAAAAAATGGTGTTTTAGCCTAACCTGATTCCAGGCTAGCCCAGGCAGAGAGCTCACCTGATACCTTCTTAACTATTAGTTGCTGCGGCAGTGTCACACAACTATCATCCCAGCTATATAGGAGGCTAAGATTTGGTGGGTCTCAGTTCCTGGCCAGCCTGGGAAAAAAAGTATATGAGCCTTTTGTCTCAACAGAAGCAGAGTCGTGGCACACGCCTCTCACCCCCGCTATTTCAGAAAGCAGAAAATAGGATGATCGCAGTCCAAGCATGCACACTAGGCCAAAAGGGAAGCCCTGTCTCAAAATAACCAGTTCCAACAAAGTCTGAAAGCATGGCTACGCAGCAGCGCACTTGCCACACAAGCAGGAGGCCCTGCGTTCAGAGTCTCACACACACTACCAAAACAACCCAAAACAGTGTAGGTTTATTTACTTTTTTTGGTAAATATAGAAGGTTTTAAACAAGAGCCTAAAATTATAAATATTAATTAGTATGTCATTGTTGCAATAAAATACTTTTTCACTTATAGAGAATTCATCATAGATTTCCTCCAAGCTTTTTTTCTTCATTTAAAATAGGGTTCAATTTACAAAATTACCAAAATCTTTCTAAAGTAGCCACTGTACTAAGTGGAAGCACATATATCTTTAACACATATATCTTTTGTACATGCCAGCCTGGTATAGAAACATTTTGTAATTTGATAATTACAAATACTGACAATGGAATATATATTTCTTACTAATAATTTTTTGTAAACAATTCCAGAAAGGTGATAAATGTCTGTAAGCAAATCATACACACAAAGTCTAGTGAGATGTATGTGGTAGGTGATCACAGTGTCAGTAAGAAAACAAGATGTGTTGCTATTGGTAATTTGTATCATTTTTGCTCTTAAAAGTATTAAAAAGTAAAAAATAGTTTTCTTTAAGTTTCAGCTTTTTATGATGTTTTTCTTTTATAGCTGCTTAAAATGTTGAAGGAGAATTAATTCTTCAACTCAAGATGTCTGAGTTACTGTGAATGGGGCCAATCTTTGGTGACACTGAGAAATGTTACAAGGCATACACACTCTGAAAAAAAACAGGATCCAGTATCCAAAAGAAATGGACTTAATGTGCCAAAGTTAAACTACTGCAGTTGGCGGAAGTTCTGCAATGTAAATAGAACACTAATGAAAAAACAACTTGTAAAAATTCAGATTTTAGTACACTTCGTTTTTATTCTGCTAGGATGGAAACATTCTGAATCTTCAACTTTCTGAAGGGGGTTGATGACCACTAGCACTTCTCATTTTCAGTGCAGCTTACTGCTTTGTGTCTAGTTAAGACAGGCTGGACTGCCCGCATTCATCCATATATGATGAAGCTTACAGCTTTTGAGTGACCAAACATTTTACAAAGTAAAAATTACTTAGAAATGGGAGAGAAAAAATGCTGATTTATTTCTGTAAATTATTTATTTGTCTCTGCACCAAGACTAAAAGTTGTACAAGGGCTTAAAAAATTTCAAGTGTAAAAATATACACATACTGGAAGAGAAAGATTTGTGGTATCACTGGCCCTTAAGGATTAGATCTTCCATTAAGCACACTCATGGGTACCACTATTTCTACTTAGAATATGTGATTTTTTCCATTAGATGCGAATTTGCTTTGTACTAAGCTAAAAATAATGCCGAAGAAGGAAAAGAAACTGGTGTAAGTTGAATAGAGTGAAATGCCATGCCAAAAAATGTGAAAAAGAATCATGTAGTAAAATACTTGGAGGGGGATGGCTTTTTTTTTTTTTTACAATCATGTGGAAATCAGGAATGTTCATATTGGATCAGAATTTTCAAGAATTACCTTTCAGTGGAATTCCACCTTGTGTAACACTTTCAGGGATTAGAGGAAAAAAAATTCTGAACTGATCCCAATGAGTTAAAAGTTAGCTGTTTACTTAGAATCATGGGAATGCTGTGAACTCTTGCTGTTATCAGGAGACTGAAGGTTCACAGGAACTGACAACTTTGTAAAGACAGGTGCTGTTCATCCCCGGTGAGAAGGACCTTCTCTTTTCATAGGACCACTTTGCATAATGGGCTTTCTTCATAGAGGAAATGTTCAGATTCATTAGCTTTGAATTTTTAAAATGTTTTTCTGAATGATCACATGTAGTGGGCTTGGCCAGTTTATCTAATTTAATGAATAATAAACATTAAGCTCTTGGTTAAATGTCAGCTAATGAAAATGTTATGAAAAAGCATGCTGCTTTCATTTTTACAAACTTTTTATTTTTTAACGATAGCTTTATTAGTAACTCCAAATGCTGCAATTTAGCTGATTCTTCCCTCAGACAGCTGGCTTTGTGGGTGGCTTTTTTCATACTACTGGTAACTTTTTTAAAAGAAGCAATGTAAAGACTGTAACAATTGAATGCACTAAACTGTTTTTTTCTTTTATATATTCAGAACTTCTTAAAGCACTCTGTATTATAATGATTAAATTGCTTCCTTTTTTAAAACCATTGCTGATGTGGTCTGAGTTTTGTTTGGCAGTAATTTTTATGTTTTCAAAAATCTGAAATGTCAAGTATTAGAAATGAAGCCTTTGAATATATTTATATTATGTTTCCCTTGTAATATGTTAACTGTATAGCTGTAAACAACTACTAATACAATTTCCCATCACTTTTATAGGTTTGATGAAATTCTGCTCTGATGTTCGCTAGCTTTAAATATATTTATTTGACAGAGCAACAGAACCTTTCCCTCCTGGTTGACTGTGACCTTGAATACAAAATAAAAGCAGTGATGAGTAGTTTTCAGTGATTTGTTTTCATCTTTAACTGAGTCAATTTTTTTTAATGGTGGTAAAATATACATAAAATTGGCAATTACACTCATTTTGAAAAATGTCCAGTTTAAGTAGGGCTATGGTAACAACTCAGAAGCTAACAACTCAGAAGCTGAGATCTGAGGATCGTGGTTCAAAGCCAGCCCAGGCAAGAAAGTCTGAAAGACTCTTATCTCTAATTAGCCACTAAAAAGCTGGAAGTGGAGCTGTGGCTCAAGTGGTAGAGCTCGATCTGTGAGCAAAAATAGCTCGGAGACAATGCCCAGGCCCTGAGTTCAAACCCCAGGACCAGCACTCACAAAACGTGTGCAGTTTAATGGCTTTAAATTATATTCACAGTGTTGCACAACCATCACTTGTAAAAACATTGCATCACCCCCAAACAGAAACTTGTATCCATGAAGCAATAACACACCATTTCCTCTAGCTCCTACTAAACTCTAATATACTTTTTGTCTTTATGAAGTTGCCTGTTATTGATATTTCAAATAAGTGGGATCAAACAGTATGTGTTACTTAACACTGTTTTCAAGTTCATCCATATACATATATATACATATGGAGCTATCTATCTATCTATCTATCTATATGGAGGGAGAGACCACATTTTGTTTCTCCACTCATCTGATAGACACCTGGGATGTTTCCACCTTACTGTGAATATTGCTGCAGCACGGAGACATGCAGTTATCTGTATGGGCTCACGTTTTCAGTTCTCTTAAGTGGTATGGTAATTCTTTTTTTTTTGGTCCAGTCATGGGGCCTGAACTCTGGGCCTGGGCACTGTCCCTCAGCTCTTCATGGTATGGTAATTCTACATGGAACATTTTTTTTCTTTTGGTCAGTCGTGGGGCTTGAACTCTGGGCTTGGGCGCTGTCCTTGCGCTCTTCAGTTCAAGGCGAGTGATCTACCACTTGAGCCACAGTGCCACTTCCGGTTTTCTGGTGGTTAATTGGAGATAAGAGTTTCACAGACTCTCCTGCCCGAGCTGGCTTTGAACCGTGATCCTCAGATCTCAGCCTCCTGAGTAGCTAGGATTACAGGCGTGAGCCACCAGCGCCCGGCTATGTGGAACATTTTGAAGGCTCACCATACTGCCACAGTGTCACAGCATCAACATTTTACATTTCACCAGCAATGTATAGTGTTTTTTTTTTCAGTTTTAAGTGGTTATTATATAATGTAGTGTAGATCAGTATCGTGGGAGACAAAAATGATAGTCTCCTTTAGTAAGTGAAGGTGGTATTTCACTATTTTTTGTGTGCGTGCTGGTCCTGGAGTTTGAACTCAGGGCCTGTCACCTGAGCTGTTTGTACTCCAGGTTAGCACTCTACCACTTGAGCCACAGCTCCACTTCTGACCTTCTGGTAGTTATTTGGAGATGTGAGTGTCACAGGCATTTCTTTACTTCCTGGGCTGGCTTTGAACCATAATCCTCAGATCTCAGCCCCCTGAGTGGCTAGGATTACAGGTGTATGAGCCATTGGTGCCCAGCTCACTATGGTTTTTGATCTTTATTTCTTCCTGTCATCTTTTCAGGTGGTTACTGACCATTTGTCAGTCTTTTTTTTTTTTTTTTAAAGTGTCTGTTCATGTCTTCTGCTTCTTGTTGAGTTTTAGGAGTGTTTTATATATTTGGAATGCTACTGTCTTATCAGATAGATGACTTGCGAATATAATCATTTTTGGATTCTGCATATGCAAACTTTCCTACTCATTAAACATTTTTTGTGGCCTCTAATCTATATTCTGTCTTCATGAGTTTGCCTATTCCTTTTTTGTTGGTGGTAGTGGTCAAGGGGCATGAACTCAAGGCCTGGAGACTGTCCCTGAGCTCTTTTGATTAAGGCTAGCACTCTACCACTTTGAGCCACAATGCCACTTTGGTTTTCTGGTGGTTAATTGGAGATAAGAGTCTCACATACGTTCCTGCCCTGGTTGGCTCTGAACTGCTATCCTCAGATCTTGGCCTCCTGAGTAGCTGGGACTACAGTCATGAGCCACCGGTACCTGACTAACATTTCAAATGTGTTATTGTATACTACTTACCTTTGTGTTACTACTCAGGGCCACTGGAGTCATTCCTGCCCATGGTCAGAATGGCAAACAGTTGCCCAGTACGCAACTGGCTGAGGTAAGGCCCAGTGACGCTGTTTTTCTTGTTCCAGCTTACATGCTGTAAGGAGGCACCTTTTTGCAGTTGTCTTAAGTGTCATGTTTTCTGTAGTTGTGCTTATTGCTGGTGATTTCATTGTCCCCAAGTAGTGCTGAAGTGCTATTTGGTGTTCCTAAATACAAGAAGTCTATCTTATACAGAAAATATGTCAGATAGGAGTTAGAGTGTAAGCATTATGTTAATTAGTCAACAGTATATGTTAAGTTAACTTTATACAGAAACACATAAAACAAGGTTAGACACTGATTGACTGATGGTGACCAGAGGCGCCCCAGATTAGCTCTGGGTGTATTTATTATTTCTAATTCAGTGTTCATAGAGCCTTTCATAGACAGTCACTATGAACAATGAAAATTGGTTGGCTGGGCGCCAGTGGCTCATGCCTGTAATCCTAGCTACTCAGGAGGCTGAGATCTGAGGATTGAGGTTCAAAGCCAGCCTGAGCAGGAAAGTCCGTGAGACTCTTATCTCCAATAAACCACTAGAAAACCGGAAGTGGCGCTGTGGCTCAAGTGGTAGAGTGCTTGCCTTGAGCTGAAGAGCACAGGGACAGTGCCCAAGCCCAGAGTTCAAGCCCACACAGACAAAAAAAAAAAAGAAAATTAGTTGTATTTTTGCTTTCTCGATAACATTCTTTGGTATACAAAACCTTTTAATGGGCTGGGAAGGTGGCTCAGTGGTAGAGCACTTGCCTTGCATGCTTGAGGCACTGGGTTCGATTCCTCAGCACCACATAAGCAAAAAGAAAAAAGCGGACCCCCCCCAAAAAAAAACTTTTAATTTTGCTGAGGTCTTAATTTATTTTTCTTGTTGCTTATGCTTTTGGTGTCATATCTAAGAAGCCATTGCCAAATCCAAAATCTGGAAGAGTTACCTGAGTATTTCCTTTTTCTTCTTCTGCTCCTGTATGTAGGTTGTAACCTGTTCAAGTCATTTTTGTATGTGGTATGAGGCAGGAATCCCAGCTTCATAATTCTGCATGTGTTACCTCTGTTGAAGTAATTATCTTTCCTCCCATCCCCCATTGAATGAACCTTAGCACCCTTGGCAAAAATGAATTCTAAGCTGGGTGTTAGTGGCTCACGCTTGTAACCCTAGCTACTCAGGAGGCTGAGATCAGAGAATTGAGGTTCAAAGCCAGCCCAGGCAGACATATCCTTAAGACTTGTATCCCAGCCCAGGCAGACATATCCTTAAGACTTGTATCTCCTGCAAAAAGGCAGACATGAAGGTGTGGCTCAGGTGGTAGGGTACTAGCCTTAAGCAAAGAAGCTTAAGGGGTTCAGGAAATGGAACAAGAGGACTTTTCTGTTACTGTTTTTATTTTTGTATTTTTTTTTTTGTTCCTTTATCTGTCTTTGGGAAAGTAATGGGGGCACAGAAATGGAAGGACAAAGGGAACAAATACAGCAGTGGTATTCACTAGCTCGTAGGTTGAAAATGAACTGTACAATTGGGAGTGGGGGAATGGGAGGTGACACAGTCCCAAGAGAAATGTATTCATTACATAACTTACATAACTGCAACCCTTCTGTACACAACTCCATAATAAAAAAGTTTTAAGCTTAAGGGACAGCACCCAGGCTCTGAGTTCAAGCCTCAGATCCAGCACTAAATAATGAAGACTAAAGAAATAGGCAGTACCTCAGAATGGAAGAGGATGGAAATTCCAAGAACAATCTGACTTAAAAAAAAAAAAAAAAAAAGCTACCTCTACTGTTTTGAGACGGAAGAGTCTTGCTGCATAGCTCATACTGACCTGAATGGCTCCATGGTCTGCCCCAGCCTGCCAGTTAAGGGATCACAGGAGTACACCCCCATGCCCAGGGGTGGAGCAAGATTTTGGAATAAACATTATGAGAACTTCTTGCTATCTGATAGGCACTTTGTGTTAGTCAATGCCTATTTCACAAATTGGATGGCATAGCTGGTAGCTAGGGATTATGAGACCTTCAATATTATGCAATACTGCCTTTGACTTGGCAGGGGGCATATGTTTGGGGTGTATAACCATCTTCTTTGAACTCATTACTTCTGGGTGATGTGTTTTTTGTTTCCTTTTTCTATGTTCTTCAAGCTTTTCCTATAATCCTTCAAGCTTTTCCTAGTATTATATTGTTGTTGGGAAAATGAAAAATACATTTTCAAAAATTTGCTTTTTAAAACGCACTTCCCTGGATGAATTCGTCAGTAGATCATGGCTGTCCAGGGGGACCAGTGGGGTAAATGGGCTGAAGAGTATAGGATGGGGAGTAGTTGTCCCACAAATGAGTTCTGAAACCTGGGAGCAGTGGATCGGGTTCTCCAAGAATCTTGACAGACAGGTGGCTTAATAACTGGAAGGAGTTAGGAAAAACAGAAAAATGGGGGGGAGGGGGAACTATGGCCCACTATGAAACACGGTCCAATAAGACTGAACTGTGAACAGTATTTTGTCCACCATCTCTTAATTGCCAGTTATCAATGAATGTCTTCAAATTCTAAAAATTCCAGTAAATATTAATCTTAGGATATGGAGATTTGATGTTTTTCTCCAAGCAGAAGAAATTTTCCCTGATCAAGCCCCTAAATTTCCATGTCTTATGTGTTATAAATGCATGTAGGAGTCTGGTTCCCGTTTCAGGCGCCGTGTCTCTTTTTCCAAACTCCAATTTATTTCCCAGCTCTGTAGTCACGTGATAACTGCTTTGGTGCAAGGTCATTTAACTACTTCAGCCCAGTATCTTCATTTACAAAGTGGGAACGGTTGTGCCTTTCAGAAGGTTGTTAAGACAAAAATGCAAAATAAAATGCT